TGCTGAAAAGCATGAGCGAGTGGTCGTGTCTGCCGTGCGTCTTTCACACTCTGTTATTGGACTTCTGTGGAAACTACAGTTTTTCCATAATGAACACCATGTTTGAACATAAGGGTGGCTTCATATCATCAGATCTGCTGTCATATGTCGTGGACATTTGGGTGAAGAGAGGGGCGGAGCTGTCAACTGATCACCACCTGGTGGTGAGTTGGATCGGGTGGCAGGGAAGACGCTGGACAGACGTGGCACGTCCAAAGCTATAGCAGGCCTCTGCTGGGGACGCCTGGCAGAGGCCTGAAGAGCTTTGGTGGTATTTTTATGGAGGCTGGGGACACTGAACGGACCATATTCAGCACCTCCATTGCTGAGACTGCTACACTCAGCTCCTGTCACAGTGGTAACCCCTGAACCAGACGGTGGACACCAGAGAAGGGAGCCATCAAGCTGAGGAGAGCGTTGAATCAGGCTTGGTTAGCCTACAGGACTTTGGCGGTAGCTGATGGGTACTGGCAGAATGCGGCTCAGGCAGTGGCTGAAGCAAAAACTCGGGTGTGGGAGGAGTTTGGTGAGGCCAAGGAAAAAGTTTAGATGCCTTAAAGCCATTCTGACAAAACGTCGGCAACTCAGGGATGGAAAGTGGTGCTCTGCATGCTGAAGTGGCAGTTCAGCCCTTTGATTCATGTTACAGCAGCTCATGACTGAATGAACATGGTGCAAGTATTTTAAAAGTACACTTTTCCTAACACTTAAATTTACTTGAGTAGGGTTAGAGGCTGCCACGTCAGCATGCTGTCAAGTTCTATACTCTTGTTAATGACTTACGGCAATAATTTTATTCAGGTGTGTTGCAACAGGGACACATGGAAAGGTTGCAGGACAGCGGCCCTCGAGGACTGGAGTTAGTGACCCCTGCTACAAAGGGACCCTTTGTAGGGTCTCAGCCTTTGTCAGTGTTAAAAGGATCATACCTATACTGCAGCAAGCCACTAGGGGGCAATTGTGATATTTTATCCATATTTGTGAGGCTGTCAAGTGAGGAAACTGATGCCACTGGAAGACTGACATCCAGGCCGCTGGTGACGTGAAGGCTGCTCTAAGTGCCTTTTGGATGGCTTGTCCCCAAAAGTATGATAAATATGTATGAAGCTTATGTGTAAATTCAATTAGAAAGATCTATGGCCTACATCTGTCCGCTCTCAGGTGCTGCTGGATGAATCGAAGGTTTATCACATTGACTTTCTCACAGTGTCAAGCTGTTTGTGTGTCCAGGCTAATCACCTTCTCCAGGCCAATCAGCATCCATGCTGTGTTCTTGAGATCTTACTCTGCATCTGTCTTTTGCAGACACATTTTGTCCAATCCACCTCATCTCCACCTCTCATCACTCAAGCTCCATTCAAGCCACCTTCATCTCCACCACCAGCATCTAGGCTCGGGGGGATCCTGCTCTAATCCCTTTCACAGCTGGAGCTCCGTTCTGCTGAGACGGGCCATCGGAGTCTGTTATCTTTATGGTTATACATCTATATTCTGTTCATCAACAAATGATGGTGATTCTGTTGCTGCTGCTGTTGTAAATTTGGTAGAATAAAAATGAAATTAATTTGGTGAGTCAACAGCAAAGGATGAGGGGCAGTTTTACCAAGGTTCATCATCCAGCACAAACTCCGAGTTATTTGACAAATGATGAATTTGTCCTTGTGAACTTTACATGAGCAGTAAACCCACAGAATAATTGGAGACCTTTTTTTTTCTCGGTGATAAACTATAGATATATATTCGTTTGAGCAATACAGTCTTTCAGAGAATGTTCTATAGTTCTTTCAAAGCATACTTGCTGTAGTCCTTTGCTGAGACTTGTTCAACTAAACTTAATCTTTCATGGTGCCTCAGTTCTCCAGAGCTGATGTTGCCAGCTTTTGTCTTCTCTCCGCATCAGTTTCTATCTTTCCTGTCTTTCTGTGATCGTTTGATGTTGTCTGTGCTCCTGAGTGACACTCATTCCAGGTAGACATTATTTGGCACCTTAGCTTTTTGCCTTAAAGGAACTTTCTTTGTTGCTTCCTGTGTTCAGACCTTCCCTGGGTTTCCTCCTTTTACCTCTGGGGTCCCATTTCCCCTGCGATTTTGTAGATGTCCTGTTGAAGCACTGGGGGAAATGCACTGAACTTTGATTGTCTCAAGGTCTGCTCTTGAGTCCACTCCATCATTTTTAACTGCCATAATTATTACATCATTATTGCATGTGTGTTTTGTTTAAATACAATTTTAAGTAAGCCTATTTTTATGAATTATAATTTATTTGTGTTAACACTACATGAGAAAATGCAAATATGTTTACATTTTGTGTTGCCTGGGGGCCTGTTTTAGTGTCGCACTGCCATTCCTGCCAGGAGTCAACATTAAATGTGGGAGGAGTTTACAGTCCACAAAAAAATGAATTATGCTTAAGGGGACATGGACCGCAGATCTAAGTCAAGAAGAGCTTTGCTCTGCAAACTGACTCATTCCCTCTTTGTTGTGTGCAGCAAGGTATGTTTGTTTATTTGTTTATTCTGCGTGGCACACGTTTATAGTTTAATTTGTGCCGTCTGTATGATGTGATGCATGCTTGTTTGTACAATATGATGCATTTTGCACAGTTTGATGGTGAATCTGATGACAGTGATGTTAAAGTGCCAGGTAGCAATTAAATTAATCAGTAACTTGAAAATCCTGGTGTCATGTATTTCTTGGAGGGAGTGATAATTGAACTTGGACCTGCTGAAGTTTCTGTAACCTGCCCGCACTCGACTGTCAAGATGACAATCACAGATAAGACACTCTTTAGCATTAAAGACACACAAGTCTAACAGTGTGTTATGAAGAAATCTATAAGACAGACACTGACATTCGTCCTCTGAAGAATGAGACTCTGAATTCCCTAATAACAATGTATGAAGATGCTCTCCTGGAGTACTCAATGTAACACGGCGCATTCACCCATACTATTGTCTATACTTTCAGTGCTTTCTAACTGACATTCATATTCTGACAACCTACAACCTACAATTACTACATAATTCCATTTGTTCATTCATAGTTTTGATGCCTTCAGTGAGAATCTACAGTGGAAACATTCATGAAAATACAGAAAAACCATTAAATGAGAAGCTGTGTCCAGACGTCTGACCGGCACTGTGTGTGTCAAACACTATGTAACAATATGGCAAAAACCACAAGGATTTTGGAAAAAGCAAGGCACGTGCTGAACAATAAAACATTGCACACACACCTTACTGCACTGTAAATTATTGTGTTGGAATCTGGGACAACACTTAGAAGAGTTCTCTACAAAAAATATACACAATGCAAAAAAGAGCAATAAGAATTATGCATAATGTTTGGTTTCGTGAACGCACAAATAATCATTTTTTAAACCCACAAGTTATTAAATCCATGGATTTGATTTGAATTTAAAACCGCACAGGTGACGTTCAAAGCAAGTAATAATATCCTTCAAAGAACGACTTTTCAAAATAAGATTACCCATCAGACCAAAAGGTTACTCAGGAATGTGCAATAGGCGAGGTAATGTAATTTTCTTCTTTTTGTTTTAAAGCACTGACCTATTGTACCTCTCTCCTTATTCATGACGTTAACCTGTGGTGTCATTGGAATGTTGTGGTTATGCTGCAAAGCATATATGTGTTGGTAAGGAGGGTGGGGGTGGAGACGGGGAGGTAGGGGACTTGTAGGGTTTGGGTTTGGGGTAATGTTCTCGATATGTTGTATGTTTGTGGTGTGCTGTATAAGACAGTTTCCCTTTGTTCTAAAACAAATAAATATTGCATTACAAGTTTACCCAAACCTATCAAACACCATCATAAAATAGATTCGACTAATAATCAACTCATAAAATGATATTTTACCGTTGGAGTTTTGCATATGTTACATGAGTGTAACATCAGCGTTAGTAATAAGCGATGTGATCACGTGATTCCGCATGGATTTCCTAAAATGTAACAAATGATGTTACTTTTCACTGCGCCAGAGGATACTTTTATTCTGAAGGATGCAGAGAGGAAGTGTTGTCGTCGCTGTTAGGAAGCGTCATTTTTCCTGCTTACCTTCTTACGCGTAGCTCACAGCTCAGTTGGGAAACTGACAGAGAAGCCAGCAACACACCGGCGTGACAACCGCAGCGTTCGGTAAGATGTGAGACGTGACGTGACGTGACGTGACGTGACGTATGCACCTAAAGGCTTATTCAAGTGAAGACTTGACTTTTATAATGTTGGGGGAACCTGCAGTCAGCTGAGACCGACGGAGTTACCTGGATGTGTGACGAAACGTTTCTCTCCATGAAAACGTCCAGATGACCAGAATCAATCTTGAGGATTTCCTTTCGTCACGTCTCTAGTTTTGCACACCTGCCAGCCCACAGCAGGTGACGCTGAGCACAACGCCGTGGAACTCCTTCACGTGCGTTAGCGGGTCCAGACGCTGTTAGCTTTGAACTTTGGTCCGCGTTTGGCAGCTGATAAGTTACAAAAAGGTATAAAGGTCACGCTGGTCTTTGATCGTCGGTGATGTTCTTGAGCCGTAAAAAAGTGCGTCTGTGCGTCCGATATCAACACGAAAGAGCTTATTTGTAGTGCAGTAGTCATTGTTGATGTGCTAGCTGTAAAAGCTTTGCTAAAGACTTTGGTCAGATCTACAATCAGACTGTGTGCAAATACACACTCAGTGAATGCCACAGTAGGCTTCCCCGTGGGTGACTGACCTGTACCTACTAAACCAACGAAGAAAAAACTTGTCATTAAAATTATACTTTACATCAAGCGCGTGTGCAGTTTAGTTATCAGGTATTAATGCACGATTTTGAACCCAGCATTACATTTATGTTATTGAATCTTCAAGGCCACCAAAATGTGTACATTAATGCATTTAATCTGACTTGTACACTTTCTTAAAAGAAACATCTGATACTGTGCTTCAGTCAGCTCTCATCACAGCACAGGACCTGTCTTAGTAAGGCCTCTGACTCTGGACTCATCTCTGTGCTCGACCTCACTGCAGCATTCAGTACTGTTGAGCATAATATTTCAGTGCACACATTAAAGTGTGCTTTCACAGGGACTAGTTCTGTTCATTTACTGTCCCATTTTCTTCTGTCTTGTATCTCTTCAGAGTGCACCGTGCCTTAAAACATGATGAACCGTGACGTGGCTGACCTCCCCAGCGGCCCGCTCGATGTCTACAGGAAGAAGGCCTCCTTCAGCTGGAAGGACATGGTCCGCTTTATAGATGGAGAAGATGTATATCTATTCAAGGTAACATCACAGGCTGTACTCGTGGCATTGTAATTAAAATTATATGTTAAGCCTAAACTGTTGTAACTTGCCACTGAGAATTCAAGAGATTTTCACTTAGCATAGACAGGATGATGTATTTACATCCTCACCTTTAACTGTTGCGTTTTCACTTCTCTTAGAATAAATCATCACACTTCTCCATGATTCTGCTTCTGAGCTATTGACCAACACACA